CCCCAAAACCCCAAAACCCCAAAACCCCAAAACCCCAAAACCCCGAGTTTCTTTATTTTTATTGAATATTTTCAAGCGAATCTCCTTACCACGGACTAGAATATTGATGATAGAGACTGCTCCTGTATCTCTGAAGGTCTTCTTCTTTTCCTAGAGAAGTCTTGAGATAATTCAAAATCTTTGTTTACTGTTCTGTTGAGAAGTGAGTATCCAGAAGGGAGTCCATAATATTTCATTCCTGGACTAGAATCTCTCACTTTGCATCTTTTGGGTATGTAGGAATCAAACCATCCAAACTCTTTAAAGTTAGAAAATGTTTTGGAGAACCCAGGGGCTGGATTCCTTGTGTTTTTGTCTCTCTTAAACTCCTCTATCATCTTCTCACTGTGCTCAAAGTCAAATGTGTGATCGTTCCCGTAGTTGTGGACACTTCTGCTCTGCATGTAGCCTTCCTTCTCGTTGACTGTCATGTGGCCCAACAAGTTGTCGTTCACCCTAAAGTTGTCAGAACAATTACTCGAAGTATCTTTTTCCAGCTCGAGGCCTGGGCTCTGGAGCAGGCGGCTTCATCTCTGATGTTCTGGTAGGGAGGCAGGCAATGAAGGACTGGTTCTTATACCTGTCCTTGAACATACCTTTTCCTTGTCTGGGCTCGTCGATGGGTTTGGCTCAGGGGTCGATTCCTGGAACTCCAAAATTAAGATATTTAGCGTATAGTTTTCTTTTATGAGTTTTAAATTTTTGATTTCCTGCTTTTTATTCCTTCAATCTCATCATAATTATTGATTTTAATTGCTGGAACCTCATGTGGCTCCAAAACTCTTTTGTTTTTCTCTTTCCTAGCTGAATGCTTGTCCAATGTATGCCCATCTACAGATTAGTCTCAGTAAATACTATTATATATACTGTTAACTCCAGATTTTATTTTGTTAAAGCCCTCAGACATGGAATGGTGATGCTTAGGTTTCTGTTGGCCTTCAATATGCCGTAACTTAATTTTCTCAAATTCTTGGTACTTTCTTCTAGTTCTTTCATCTGCTTGACCTTGGTCAAAGTTCTTTTTGGCCCTTTGAAACTGCTTCCTGGAAGTCATTGATGCCTTGTTAGGATAATCCGAAACCTTATGTTTCTTTGCTTTATGAGCTTTCTTTGTTCCATTTCTCGAACTCAGTTTACCTGAGGTAAAAGATTGGGACATTTCTATCGAAGTTTTTGTCGAAAAATTACCTTTTGATAGCTTTGGTCGTGCTGTTTTGACTTGCTTCAGGACTCCTTTCCTACATATAGTTATTTTCAGGTCAAACCAAGTCAAATAAGTTATCAGTACACATATTTTCCATTAGTTGCTTTACCTTAGAGACATGCTAATTCAGTTTTATTTATTTTATTTTTGCAATGTCTCACTTTTTTGGAGGGGTTTTGGGGTTTTGGGGTTTTGGGGTTTTGGGG